TCCGGGGATATGAAACTTTTATGGATGATATCGAAGCCAAATCTTCATTTAAAAGCATTTTGTGGCGTTATTGAGATGCCTTTAAGACGATCTTCTCTCTGAACTTGCCAGCCTGAGCTGAATGTTCAGATTTTCTTGCCCTTGTTTAAACACAGCATTTAAACACAGTGGCTCATTTCACCTGAAACGGTTTTTTTCTTTCTTTCTCGACTCTTCTTGTCCCTGTGTGTTTCGCAAGTTGGTCTCAGAGCCCGGTGCCTGCTGGCACAGTAGTAACTGGGGCTTTGCTGACATCACCCGCGGCAACGTGGGGAAAATCCTGTTGCCGTGGCAACCACGTTGCTCCGTACTTTTGAAGCGTTTTGCTGTAATTGGACGGAGAAAGGATGCAAAGAAACATTATCTGATGAACATGGGAGGACTGCGCTGATAAAGTTAGAGAAACAGCAGACGCTGACCTCAAACATTGAAGCAAATCGTGCTGCGTTTACGTTCCCTTTAAAAGAAACAATGCTCTTTGTATTTTCTCCAAGGGCAGATCATTTCCACTAAGCCGAAACTCCACAGGGTATTCCTTCATATACATTCCCAGAGACCCTAACTCTCGACCATAAAATAAATAACTAACTGCAAATATAAGTGAGCCTTGAAATCGCACATTGGAGAAAGAAGATGGGGTGAAACTCGATGTTTGGAAAAGAGAAGTTCTTTCTGGCTAATTTGACACAGAGCTGGATAAGTATGAGCTGATGAGTAGCTTTACAGAATAATATAATCAATGAGTTGCTTTAATTAAATGAAACCCCGATAAAAACTGTTGACCTTCACTGACGTTTTTCCAGAAAATTGTGCTTAAGGAGAACTTAATGAACCCTAACATCTCATCTAGAAATGTTCTAGAAATCCAGATGTTCCTCCAAAAATCTAAGGACCTCTGAGACCTTCTGCTAACAATCAGTGAACACAGTGAAGAAAATTCCTCCTTAAACACAGTGAAGAAACCACACACCTTCAAGAAAAAGAGACTCCTCACTGATCCATTCAGCTCCCCTAAAAGAAACCTTAAGAGGAAAATGAAGAACTCACTACTTCAAATTTAGCATATTCCAGCCGCAGGAACCCTTCCAGAGCCCCTCAAACCTCTTTCAGGGCCACAGGACCAGTCTCAAGGAGGGCTGTAATGTGTTCACTGACCCTTTTAATACACTTTGGGGGCTCTGAAATCCCTCCAGAAACCCTTTGAGAAGCTCAAGGAATCTTATTATCCTTTAAATAATTCTGAACCTGGTCTGGAACATTCTTAATAATCTCTGTTGTAGTCCCAGACTCCCCCATGTCCTTCCATCCCATCACGAAACGCTTGGTGAAAGGAATGGGGTCAAGGTTAGGAGCAGCCTGACACCTTGTGGCAAAAAGGCAAAAGTGCATGAGAAACTTGGAAGGTTGTGTTACAGCCTTTCATGACATTTGTGTTTCAGTTGCTTGTAAATGTATTGTTAAACCAAACAAGGTGCGTGGTTAAAGCAGCCGGAGCTTGGATATTAGACAGGAAGAGCTTAGGGAAGTGTTTCATGAATAATTCAGACCAGCAGGTGGAAGTGTTCACGAAAACCCCAAGGGTCAGATCCCACTTCTCACCTTGCATGTTGAAGAAAAGTCAATTCCTTTGCTGTGACATATTCACATCAGCTCTTTACCACGCCTCAACACGTCTCAGTGCCGGCTGCTGTGCAAACCTTTTTTTGTCACCGTGTGCAGTTGTTAGACAGCGCCAATAAAACCGGCCTCTTTATGATCCTTTGGTGTGACTGAATCTCTGTCCATCAAACGAAACCAATCTCGAGTAGGCTTTGAGGGGAATGTGGGTTTTTGCTTAGTAGTCGAGGAGAGAGCAGAAAGAGAAGGAGGAATGTCTAACATCCACATACGCGTATGCGATTCTCCTCAGTGGGAAGCCACAATCATTCAGCAACAGTCATTTCTGTCATCCCTCGGGGCAGAGAGAAAGTTGGATGCCTTTCAGTACTGGATGATTCGGATGATGCACAGTGTACTCAACATGAAAGTTGTTTTTTTTACTTCATGCAGCCAAGTTTTGATTGAATATAAGTGTGATTACTTTGATTCTCTAACTGCAAAGCAAGTAGTCATTCGGCTTCTGGGGAAATTCAACTTCTGTTTGCTGCAGTCTGTGACAATGTGGGAATTTCCAAGGATTAAAAAAGGGAATGAATTAAAAAGCCTTTCTTGAACGATTACTTTTTAATCCTTTAAAAAAAAGTCGAGCTGTCCACCCGCCATGCTTTTTCTGTTTTTTAGATCCACTTTTGAATGTTACAGCAGTCCTTCAGTGAGAGTCAGTGGGAGCCCAGAGAAAATTCAGCATTTCAAGAAGAACAAGAATCAAACATTTGACCTCAATGAGGTTTAAATGTGCAGCCAACAATAACATCAGGCCTGACGATCTTTGACAAAGACTTCTTTGGCGAACACAATAAACATAAATAAAATGGAGAAACATGCAAGTGAAAGATGAAAATCTGAACTAAAGTTAATGTTAGCTTAAAGCAAAATATACCCATTATTATTATTATAGTTATGTCTTACTTTGTGCAAATTATGATGTTAAAATTCAGTCTGATATCTAAAAAAAAGTTTTTTAAAAACATAAATCATGTCATTTAATATAGGATAAGCTCACACGTCAAAAATTTGAATATCAAGGATCATGAGACCTGCAGACCATAACCTGACAGGACAGAGAGCAAACTGGTTTCATTCAGTCTTAGTCGATTATACACTGTCTTCACAACACATACAACTCAACACTTCTTCTTTTACTGCTCCCTTGAGGTGTGACCACAGCAGCTCATCTGTCTCCATCTCACCCTATCTTCTCATCTATCAAACCAATATCTTACTTCACTATAAACATGAATCTTCTCTGTGGTCTTTCTCATCTCCTCCTGCCTGGTTGCTCTATATATTAGGCATCCTTTGTTCTTTATATCCTCTTCTTCTCATCTGTCCTCACACCAACTCTGGAGCATGACAGCCCTCACCTCCATTACTTTGAGTAATATAACTGGATCTTTTTCACTGTGTATTATTTGACTAAGATTTTGGCTTGCTGTGTGACACAGACCATCCAAGAACTTTGGCTTCAGTTTTGATGAGTGAAATATTGCTATTGCTTTGTTAGTCTGGTACCATGCAAGCTATTTAGCATTGCACCAATATGATCTATGGATGCAGCTTGCTAACCAAGCTAGCTAGTATTAGCTGAGAAGTAAGCCCTCTACCCTTTCGTTCAAGTAATGTAGCATTTGACTTCAAAACACGAACAGCGAAGCTTTAAAATGCAGAGTCTAAGACTGGACTTAGGTAATAGCTAGTTAGACTTTTCACACTGTTGCACTTATTTAACACATCCTTTTTTTATGAGGCATCTCATGTTACATCGTGCCATGTTGCTCCCGAGTTCTCCATATTGGATGTGCTACACTGGTTGCTAGGGAAACATATGTATTACTCAAGTGATTGGCAGTGATTCCTAAAAGTTTCCAGATCTCACTGGTAACAAAGAAGATGATGTGCCAAAAGCCTGGCAGATTGCCACAGTTGCCAGTTTTTCATGTTTGTCATGTTTGCCAGATGGTTGTGGACCGGGTCTAGGCTTGCGTGACCTGAGCCTTATTCACTTGATCCTACATTGTTACCAGGATTGGTGGAAAATGGTGGAAAAGTATCTATAAAACCTCAATAGACTGCTAAACTACTCAGACTGTATCTTACCTCTTGTCCTATAACAGCAAGCCCCCTCCTCAACCCTGAATTGGTCAAGTGGTTAAGACAATGCATGGTTGGACAAATTACCC